CCCTGTCCTACCCAGGCTGAGCCCAGCTGATCCTAAACCCCCTGTCCCACTCCGGCTCAGCCCAGCTGATCCTGCAGCCCTGTCCCAGCTCCAAGGGATGAGAGCTGAGCCTTGGAGTCCTGGGCTGGCTGTGGGACAGGCAGGAGGGAGGGAAGTGTCCCTCTGGAGGACACAGGATGAGCAGGATCTCACACACTTTGTCCAACCCTCTGCCAACCTTCCCAGGGTCAAACACCACTCTCAGTTTTCCCATTCTCGGCTCTGGCTCCGTTTGCTCCTCCCTGGGCAGAGAAGCCACAAAGTCGCTCTGATGTTCCTCGAGGCTTTCAGGATGTTGGATCAGCCCCTGGCAAGGATCAGCAGGGACTGACCCAGGTCAGGAATTGCCCCGGCAAACAGGGCAGGGCGGGGATTGTAACTGCTGGAGCAGGGAAGGGCCTCCCTGGCAGGAGTTGGGACAAAGCCAGGAGCAGGTGCTGGGATTGGGATCCCGCTGGAAGCTGAGGCTGTGCTGGCAGCAGGAATGAAGGTGCAACACTTCCCCCTCCAGCCCCACACCCCAAATCCAGGCTGAAATTCCAGCTGCAGGTGCCACATCCCAGAGGAGACTCCAAGACTTTCACTCCAGTGTCCCAAGGATGACAGGACTCCATGTGCTCCTTGTCTCAAACCTCCTTGTAATTCCAGCCCACGTGTAACATTACAGATGGGAATTATTGGGAATAAATAGATTTGTCGTCTCCTAAAAGTTCTCCTGAGCTCTGGGAAGTGCTGCAGGTGCTCCTGGGAGGGGGAGGAGAGAGACATCCCATCCCCTCCCGGGGCTCCCAGGCCCCTCACTGGTACTGTTGGTAGTTGCTGAACGGGGGGGGCTGGAGCTGGGAGGGATCCTCGGACAACTGCGGGCCTGGAGAGGGAGAGGAGAAGCAAATCAATCCCAAAAGGCAGGAGATTCCCCCTGCAAACAGTGGGTTGGTTCAGATAAATTCCCCTGGAAATTAATCCCCAATCCCAGCCTGATTTGGGTTTCACAGACTGTCAGAGATTTCACAGAATCATGGAATGGTTTGGATGGGAAGGGACCTCAAATCCCATCCTGGCCTGGGCAGGGACACCTCCCACCATCCCAGGCTGCTCCAACCTGGCCCTGGACACTCCCAGGGATGGGGCAGCCACAGCTTTTTTGGGAATTCTATCTCAGCCCCTCCCCACCCTTACAAGGAGGAATTCCTTCCCAAAATCCCATCTAACCCTCTGGCAGTTGCTCCCCCCAGCAGTGGGTTGGGAAGCTGAATCCACACTTGTTTTGTTCCAGTGGTTCCTTTATCCCTGGGGTTAAACCTTCTCAGAGGGGCCAAGGGCACCTCCAGGGCACTGAGGAGCCTGGAAAGGGTTCAGTCTCCCTGCTGGGAAACCTGGGAGCAGCCTGGGGTAGTGGGAGGTGTCCCTGCCCAGGGCAGGGGTGGGACTGGGTGGGATTGAAGGTCCCTCCAACTCAACCCAGCCTGGGATTCTCTGACAGAGATATTTAGGATCTTCCACAGCCAGGCATTCCCACAGTCACCAACCTGACAGCCCAGCTCCTGTTTTACTTGGGAAAAAAAAAGAATGTGAGTTTTGAAGTTCAGGGAAAGGAAAACCCCTCAGCCTTCCTGGAAATGGGTTATCTGTGTCTGCCAGGACTTTATCAGCTCCTGCACCCTGGGCTCCCACACTCGCGCTGCCAGGACCTGCTCTGGGCTTCCAAAACCTTCCCTGGGCTGCCAAAATGTGTTCTGGAGCCAGGCTGGGAGAGCTGGAAATGTTCCCCTGGAGAAGAGAAGGCTCCAGGGAGACCTTGGAGCCCCTTCCAGGGCCTAAAGGGGCTCCAGGAGAGCTGGAGAGGGACTGGGGACAAGGGATGGAGGGACAGGACACAGGGAATGGCTTCCCACTGCCAGAGGGAGAGTTAGATGGGATATTGGGAAGGAATTCTTCCCTGGGAGGGTGATGAGGGGCTGGGATGGAATTCCCAGAGAAACCGTGGCTGCCCCATCCCTGGAAGTCCCCCGGATCAGGTTGGACGGGGCTTGGAGCAACCCAGAAGGAGCTGATGATATCCCAGGGGTCTCCCTGGCTTTCCAGAGCCCCAGGAGCTGCCAGATTCCCTCTGGGATATGAGTGCTGGCTGGAAGAGGCCGATCCCTGGGATCCCCCTGTGCCGGCTCCTCACCGTTGGGGAACTGGGTGGAGGCAAATCTCGTCAGCAGAATTCCCGCTCCCTCGATGAGCGCCAGGAGAATCCCTCCCATGGCAGCGGATCCCACCATGGCCACGGGCCCGTCTGGAATGGGAAGCACAAACACACCTTGGACTTTTGGCTGCAGTAGTTCCATGTTAGACATTCCCAAAATCCTGCTTTGGGCGGGAAGGGACCTCAAATCCCATCCAGTCCCACCCCTGCCCTGGGTAGGGACACCTCCCACCATCCCAGGCTGCTCCAGCCTGGCCTTGGGCACTTCCAGGGATGGGGCAGCCACAGCTTCTCTGGGAATTCCATCCCAGCCCCTCCCCTCCCTCCCTGTGCATTTGGATCTCTCCCAAAAGCAGACTCGGAGCAGTGACTTCCCATCAATTCAGGGATTCATTGAGGGATAATTCCTGGGCAACTCCGCCCTCCCTCCCAGGAACACCAGGAACCTTTGGGAACCTGGGAATTCCCTTCCTGAGCCCAGCAGAGAAGTCTCGGGTGATTTTCCAGTGGGAAGCCGATCCCAGTGAGGGTGTCCCACACCCTGCTCTGGCCACAGGAACTGGGATGTTTGGGGGTTTTGAGGGATTCTCCCAGTTTCTTACTCCGTGCGGCCAAAATGGCTCCGGTCAGGGCTCCGCTGGTGATGGAATTCCAGGGATCCTCCTTGCCCCTCATCCGGACCATGCTGCAGTCGATCATGGAGAACAGCCCTCCCCACACGGCGAAGCTCCCTGTGCAAACAGCCGGGATTGGGGGGGAAACCCGGGAATGGCACCCCAGAAACCAGGGAATGCCACGCTGGAAACCAGGGAATGCCTCCCCGGAAACCAGGGAATGCCTCCCCAGAAACCAGGGAATGCCTCCCCGGAAACCAGGGAATGCCACCCTGGAAACCAGGGAATGCCTTCTCTGGAAACCAGGGAATGCCTTCTCTGGAAACCAGGGAATGCCTCTTTGGAAACCAAGGAATGTTTCCCCCATAAACCAGGGAATGCAGCTCCCAACCCACCCAGAGCAGCTAAAATCAGTGGAAAAGGGGAATTCCCGCCCTGTCATTCCAGGGATCACTCCCCATCCATAATTAACCCGGGAACTTAAATGAAATTTAAATTAATTCATTAAATTATTTAATTTAATTTCTTGAACAAATTAAATTCCCAAACTTGGGAATTTAAATGTAATTTAAATTAACTCATTAAATTAATTTCCTGGGAAATGAGGGAATTAATTAAATGAATTATATTATCTATTAATCGATTACTAATTTTAATAATTATTAAATATTATAAATCATTAATTATTTGTTATTTATATATTAATTGATAATGAATTAAATAAATACATTAAATTAATTTAATTTAAGAAATTAAATTCCCAAACTTGGTTATTTAAATGAAATTTAAATTGATTCATTAAATTAATTCAATTCCCTGGGAAACCAGGGAAAGAATTAAATTAATTACATGATTTATTTATCAATTATTAATTGCTAGTACTATTAAATATTATTTATTAATTATATGTTAATTAATAACAAATTACGTAAAATAATAAATTAAGTAATTTAATTAAATAAAAATTAATTTAAGAAATTAAATTCCCAAACTTGGTTATTTAAATGAAATTTAAATAATTTCATTAAATTGACTTAATTCCCTGGGAAACAAGGAAATTAATTAAATTAATTATATGAAATAGTAATTTAACTATTAAATATTATTAAATAATAATTACAAATTAATTATATGTTAATCAACAACGAATTAATTTAATGTAATAAATCAAATTCCCAAGCTTGGTTATTTAAATGCAATTTACATTAACTCATTAAATGAATTTAATTTAATAAATCAAATTCCCAAACTTGGGTATTTAAATGCAATTTACATTAATTTAGTGCATAAATTTAATTTACTAAATCCGATTCCCGAACTCAGGAATTTCAATGCAATGTCAATTAACTCATTCATTAATTTAATTTACTGACTCCAATTCCTGAACTCAGGTATTTCAGTGCATTGCCAATTAACCCCTTCACTAATTACCCCCGAGCTGCGGCGCCCTGGTCCTGACGGCGGTGAGGCTGCCCCTCAGCCGGTGGCTCACGCCCTGGGGAGAGACACATCCATGAACCCGGGAGATCCCAACCCATTCCCAGTTATCCGTGCAATCCCACATTCCCAGTTATCCGTGCAA